CTGCAACTGTATGGACCCCACTTCGTGAAATGTTGGCACAGAGGGCTCTTGTTGATTTGCTGGCCTGCCTTCACTTAGGGCGGGCACGAGGCTTGTTGGGGCCTTGGCCCAGAACATGTACATCATGGCAAGGCCCCTACTTGAGGGCTCAATCCTCACATCTCTCCATTCTGGCATGCAATTATCAGCAGAGAAGGTCCTAACAAACTTCCATGAGGCAAGGATTTTCTCTTGGTGCCTTTGGTGAAGTTTGGTCCCTCCGGCGTCCACCGTTTTCAAGCCTTTAAACCACCAGTACAAGCCCCTCCAGGGGCCTCCGCCGGTTTCAAGCCTTTTAAACCACGAGTACAAGCCCCCCTCCTTCGGAACTTTTGGCTCTACAAGCGGACAGCACTTTCAGTGTGCCGGCCTGGCAGGGACTATTTCGATTCGCAGGGGTGCAAACATCTTTGGTGATTCATTCCTTCATCACTAAGGTCACCCAATATTAGGGCATTTGAACTCGCGCCATTTTTCTGAATGACCCTCTTCCATCACGGGGCCAAAGTGACCTTTCTAAGCCATGGGAAGAGACCTGTACTTGATAGCTGTGCGATCTAAACCGTTTTCCACTGGGTTCAGGCTCATCAAGTGCGAGGCTCCAGGGCTGAGCAGATTTGGCCCGGCCCTAAGTGAAGGCTGGGGTGAAAAGTAATTGTTGGGCAGAGAAGTAACTGCCAAAGCATATGGAGCTGGTGGTGAAGCTGTTTCAGAAGCTTCCGAGGCTGCAACGACTCGGCCCACACGACAGTACTGCGGCCTCCCTTGGTTGACAAAAACATCGGAGGCGACCGCATTCACTCATTTGGAACTTTGGAGGATCGCTAGCTGACCAGTCCTGGCACGAGCAGGATCAGTGGCGATGGGATCACCCACCAGCAGCGTCTGTGGAGGATGGTCCAGAAGCCAGCTCTCGAGGGAGGTGCTGAAGCTGTGAGGCGGTTACAGTCTGTGGAGAGGAGAGAGTAGACGTGCAGAGCGAGGTACCAGCGGCACGAACGAGCTATGTGTCGTCAAGCTATGGTTGACGTCACATGTTTCCTAGTGAGTTTAGCTCGTGGTGACTACAATGCTCAGACGCATGACAACGTTGGGTACTAGCACTACGCACGAGAAGAGAGAAATTGGATTTTCAAGGTAAGACTGTGTGTGATCTCGTTGCTGACGTCACCTGCTTCCTCGAGCGATCCACACCATTCTCCATCTCTGATTATGTAGTAGTCTAGCTCGGACATGCAGAGCAAGGTACTTGCGGCATGTATTGGCATTTTGAAGCCAAACTTCATGCGGGACTCTCACGAGAAGGGTGTGTGCACTCTAATGGTTGGTGTCGCCTACTTCCTAGTGTGGTCAACATCAGCTACTAGCGTGCTTCATCTCCGCTGTGATAAGGTGAGAGCAAAACATGTGGAACAAAGTAAAAGTGCGCACGCGACTACATTGGATACTAGCGGTGAGCGCAACTCTCGAAGTCAAACGAGGTTGAGACCTTTGTACGAGTCCTATTCTGGAACATGTCGTTGATGTCAGCAGCGTAGTCTCCATATTTTCGACCGTCCTCTGACGCGCTTCTCATGACAAGAATGAGTCAAGTACTGGCTAGTAGAGTGGGATGCTGATCCATGTGAGCTCTTCAAGTCAGCTTTCTTGGAACTTATGTGAGGGGCATAAGCGGGTAAGCTGCGGTTGACATCATCAACAGACGAAGCTATATGTTTATCGTCGATTAGGTGGTAGTCACACTGTGGTTCGTTCAGCGCGATTGTCCTCACTCTGAGCAGTGAGCTCACCCGTGAATAGTCAAGGTGCTAGCCTTGTGCAGGAGATTATGAAGTCAGACTTCATGTGAGACTTACGCGAAAGACTTTTGTCCGTCTCGTGATTAGTGTCATCTGTTGCGCGTATGTCTTAGAGCAGAGAATGCTCCATTGCCATCACCGAGCATTTATCAGTTTTATCCTTCGACTATGCTAGTTCATGATCATTTGTGGTTGTAATTGGAAGTGTTCACGATGCTGTTACACAGAGTGTTTGAGAGCAGCATGAGAAGTGTCGCATACCGTAACGGTACAGACCAAAACAAGAACCGACCTCTCTCACATAGTACAAGATAGCACAGCGGAAGGCTAATATACCAATGATCCGAACAATCAATGTTGCAATGCAGACCAAACATACATCATCATCATTCCATGGTGTGAAGGGGGCTGGCGCTCACACAGGAAGAATGCGCCAGTCCCCAACCATACATAGACGAAGAAGAGGGGGGTTAGACGACGAAGAGGGGAAGATGGGAATATCGTCAACACCAAGTCTTCGGTACAGGTCCCAAATAATCCCTCGTCCAATGTCTCAATCTCGATGTGGAGTCTGGATCCAAATGTCGTCAAGTCCCAAAGTCACCAATCTCTCTCTCTCTCGTAGTCTGCAGATACTGAGAAGTTAGGGAGCGAGAGGGTGAGGGAGAGATGGTGGACTTAGAASAGGAAGAAGAACTCTCTCTCTCTCTCTCTCAGTCCGGTACTAACCTGTGAAGGTGGCGCCTTGTTGCAGGTACATCGAAGACGAAGCTGGAGCTATGTCTCCCTGGCCTCCGCCAACCATCTCTCTCTCTCCAGTGCTACTCTAGCTCCTAATAGCGCCCAGCGCTGAAGACTACTGCTAACGCTACGACTACTACTGCAGCGCTCCTACTGAGTGCTGCTGCCGAATCCTGAGACTGCCTCCTGCCTCCTGCACGTGAAGTGCCCGTGAACTACCTCGTGACTACCTGCAGCCTGCAGGGCGGGCCAGTCTTATATAGTGCTGGCCCGTCCAGGAGGCTGCTCTTGCCAATGCCAAAACGTGCTAGACCCTGGCGTTGAAGTTCAAACGAAGGTTGTCTTGAAAACAGGCCAGTGCTAAAACCCTGGTTTGGTGCCTGAGTTTCAGGGCAGGTCGATCTTATGAGGGCCTGAAAATGGCCCTCCGTTTCAGGCTGAAAAGACTCAGGGCCTGGAGGAGGGCCCTTTTTAGGCTGAAACGACACAGGGCCTGTAGGCCCTTGTTTTCAGGCTTCTAGGCTGGAACGACACAGGGCCTGTAGGCCCTTGTTTTCAGGCTTTTAGGCTGAAACGACACAGGGCCTGTACGCCCTTGTTTTCAGGCTTTTAGGCTAAAACGACACAGGGCCTGTACGCCCTTGTTTTCAGGCTTTTAGGCTGAGAATGCTGGTCGGACCCTGCAGGCCCGTGTGGCTGCGCAGTATGCCACAACCCCCCCTCCTTGAAAGACCAAGCTTACCTGCGAGGGCGAAGCTGTCTCTTTGAGGGAGGGACCAAAGTCCGGGTGGGAGGGGCAGGTCGTGAAGCTCCCTTAGCTAACCTTTGTCGTTCGTAGTGAGCATAGATCAGCGGTGCGGATGCTTTCAAATCTTCTCCTGAAATCCATCAAGTGTCGCCGGGATCGCATGCTTTGAAGGTAACTTCGTACTATCGAGGCTTGCTGCTGTACTTGCGATCCGTGATGATGCGGTCAACTTCCTGATGACCATCCATAGATGGAGGGTCTTGCGATCATCGGCCCGGGAAGTCGTCGCTGTTAGCTGGTGTATATGTCGCCAGCTTCGAGGCGTGAAAGACTAGATGGGCCGTCAGATGCGGGGGGATGTTGATCACAAATGAGGGGYCATCGGGCTCATCGCCCGCGGCTGATGTTACGGGCCAAGGTCCAAACCACTTGGGGAGCAGTTTGCGTGAAACATCCTGCTCGATTACAAACTCGCCTGTTGGCTTGCTGCTGCATGCGGACTTGACCCTTTTGCATGTTCGCGCGAGCTTGAGCCAGCAATTCCCTGTACTTCCGGACGGACGTGGGGGAGCAAGCAGCGTCTATGTCGGTTGTTCATGGGGAGGAAAAGATCAGAAAAGATACGGCCTTTCCGACCACCGTGGTGCAACTCGGATGGAGTCACGTCGATCGCCCGATGCAACGAAGTGTTGTAGGCCAACTCGATGTCGGGGATGCAGTCAACCCAATCCTTCTGATCCGGATGAGTGTACGAAGCATTATTTGAGCGGTTTGATGTGCCCACTCTGTTTGCCCGTCCGTTTGTGGATGTCGAGACGAACTTGGTTTCATCTTGGTGTTGGTGGGCTCGGGCCATACGAAGACGACCTCCATCTTGTTCACAAGCGGGCGGATGCCTTGAGGCATCACATAATGTCCCAAGTACTCTAGCTCTTGCCGTGTGAATTCGCATTTATCGCGGTTGGCTTTGTACTTGGCTTGTCGTAGCCGCTCCAAAACGATGCGAAGGTGCTCCACATGCTCGTCCAAACTCCGGCTGTACACCAAGATGTCGTCCAGGTCGATGAGAGAGAATCTATCCAGCATGTGTTGGAACTCCGTTGTCATAGCCGCTTGGAATGTGGTCGGGGCATTCGTAAGACCAAAAGGCATAACCAACCATTCGAAATGTCCATATCGCGTCATAAACGCGGTCTTGTAGCGGTCCTCTTGCCGGATCTCGAGTTGGTGATATCCCGATTTGAGGTCAAGCTTGGAGAAGAACTTGGCGCTGCCCAACCGTTCGAGGAGGTCGTCGATGCTCGAAAGAGGGCCAAAGTTCTTGACGGTTTGCGCGTTGAGCTTGCGATAATCGATGCACAATCGCAAATCCTTGTTCTTCTTCCGGACGAAAAGAACGGGAGCACCGTATGGCGAAAGCTAGGCCGAATCCAGCCTTTCTCGAGAAGGTCGTCGAGTTGTGCCCCTAGCACACTTAACTCTTCCTCGCTCATACACTAGATGCAACCACGCGGAGGTACGGCCCCGACCTCGAGGATGATCTTGTGGTGGATGGGCCGATCCGGTACTGCTCCGTGCGGGGCTTAGAACATGTCGCCGTAGGCGTCCAGAAGCTCGACGATGCGTGGGTCCGATGATGAGTCCGTCGATGGAATGTCATGGGGCGGGAGGGCGTGGAGAAAACACACCCCCATCTCCTCGATGCCATCCCTGGTGATGGAAGCTCGAATGCTTGCGGCGGACACCGCGTGGCAGCTGATCGAAGGGTGAGGAGGAGGCACCGCGCATGGGACTAGTACTCCGGTTCAATCACGAACGTGAACGGTGCGGCAGTAGAAGTTCACCAGGTGATCCTCGCTTCGCAGTCATGACATGCCCAAGATCATGTCGAATTGAGTGTCCAAAATGTCGAAGGACACGACCTCGCTTGCATGCGGGGCGAAGTACATAATCAATGCATCGGTCGATTGACTTGTGCGTTAACCGTCGGCCAACGTGACTTGCGTAGGCTGCGACTTCCTCCGAACGCATGGCCCAAGGCCAGCACGTACCATAAAGTCTTGGCTGATATAATTGCGAGTAGCTCCGCAATCGACCAAAGCGCTGCAAGTCACCTCTCCGATCTCAATGCGTATGTACAACAATGGCGCGTCGATGCCGTCGTACCGTTGTGTCTTGAACTCGCGGTCGATCTTCGCAACGTAGTCGTGAAGGTCGACAACCTCTACTCCGGCGTCCATCAACGGAGTTGGTACTCCAATGTGCAAGTAATCCCGCAATTGTGCCTTGAGCACGTTGCAAGGCGGTTTCGGCAATTGACCGGTCGGGGGAACGGGCATCCATTGGAAATTCGCAAACGTCAACGGGTCGAGCTCTTCAAGTCTTGACCATGACGTCGAATCCCCGACGATAGATGGCGGCGACGTTGCCGAATCGGTTGCCGATGGTGGTGAAACTGTGCATGAGGTGGATTGTTGCACGTGGAGTGGCTGGTCCAACGGTGGGACCAAGTGGACAGCGTAATCCTCATAAGTGAACCGAGGACTTGTGACATCCGCATTCTCCCCAGATGTGTAGGAGGCCGCTAGCAAGGCCGCCGAATCTGGCCGAGTGAGAGGTGGAGTCGCCTCACCTCCCGCGCAACTCAGTTTCCCGAGTTGATGCGAGGCCGAACATCCTCCTTGCCTTGATCCTGGCAGTGGAAGGTCTTGTGCTTGGTGTTGTTGCACCAATAGCAGCAGCTGTATCGGCTGCGGTAGTTGTATTCCGCCTCGGTACTTGTATTTGGCCTGAGTCAAGTTGAACTTGACCTATGGTACTGGCTGTCCGTTTCCAGTCGGCGATGTGGTTTTCGCCTTCCCTTTTCCTTGGGAGTTGTTGTTGCTTTGCGGCTGGACAGCGGCCGCCTGATCTCCCTCACGTGATGCTTGGGTGGCTGCTGGGTCTTCCACAATGGTGTCCGGTTGGACTGCAGCGACGTGCTGCGGACTCGGACAAAAATTTCCTTTCTCCACATAGGCTGGCTGCCGTGCTGATTTCTCGCGTGTAGCAGCCCGGTTTTTCTTGATGATCTCTCGCGTCTTGTCGATAATTTCGGCAAAGGTCGTGTACTGCTCACGATCACCGAGTGAGAGACTCAAGCCGGCACACGACTGGTTGTAGAACTCTCGACGCAGATGCAAAAATGGCAACTGGAGATCGGGCGTTGCCACAATCTTTTGCCATTCCGTGAGCCAATCGCATGTCTGTGTGTTGCCTTGGGTCATGCTGAAGAGGCGGTTGATGGCGAGCGTCGGGGCGTCTTCGATGATGAACCGCTTCTTCCATTCGCTCGTCAGATCTTCCCAGGAGATTTTCTGGTATAGATGGTTGACTTGGAAGCCGTGGATGGTTGCCATGTGGCTGAGCCAGAGCTGGCATCCGCCCTTGACGTTGAGGAACAGCGCCGAGATGAACAAGTATTCGGGGACCTCGTGAATCCCAAGCTCCGTTGTAAAACCGTCCCACCAGACGACTGGGTCCTGATGCGTATAGTCGTCAAATTTCTCTATCCTGAACGTCGGCATCTTGTAGTGCTCCAAGTCCTATACACGGGAATGAAGTGCCCGCGTAGCATCCTCGTGCAGATCCTTGTGGTTCTGCATTACCCGTCGGAGACTTACCAATTCCTGGTGCTGTTTTGCCAGTTACTGGTGTTGTTTCTCTAACTCGGACTGTTGGTGGTTACAAGTGTAAACCAACCGTGTCACAAGTTTGGAGAAAAACTCCTTGTGCTGCTCTTCCGGTGTTGCGTTGTCGTGGCCGGCGGATGGTTCAAAATGCCAGAACTTGAGCTTATCGATGCTGGTGGCTTCGTGCCGCTGCAGCAGCTCTTGGGCCTCCCTGCGGAGGGCCTGGGCATCTGCTTCTGCTTTGGCCTGCAGCCGCTGCTTTTCAGCTGCTGCCTCTGCTTCAGCCTGTAGGCGGGCAGCCTCGGCTGCCCCCTGGCGCTGTACCTCAGCCTCGACCAGTGCGAGCTGAGCTAGAAACCGCTGATGGTACTCGTCAATGGACTCGCCCGCCAGGTGGCCTGTCATGCCCAATGATGAACCCGTCATGGTGGTGGGGCGCTGCGGACGTTGGTACTGCTGCTGTCGTGGCAGTGCTGACGTGGCACTGTTGCTGACATGGCACTGCTGACATAGCATTGCTGACATGGCACTGCTGCTGACATGGCACTTACCAAACTGGGAATGCAGGCAAAGGGTTGGGTGGGAGGGAAAACGTAGGAAGGTAACCAACCAAACTGTACTTTCCTCCTGGTCCTAATCAACAGAATAAAATAAAAAAAATCAAGAAGAGGATCACCCCCCCCCCTTTTTTTTTTTTTTTTCCCTGTATATCTGTCGATCTGCTATGAGTGAGGCATTTCAGAGGAGTACTATGCGCGAGATCTAGGCAAGGTTCCGCAAAGTTTCGGCTTCAAAAAAATGCGATCTTGAAAATTTTTTTTGTGTGAAATAGATGCAAGGAATATGAGTGTGAGCGATATACATAAAACCAAGTTGTGAAATCACACAGCTGACTGAGTAGTCGTTCCCCAAGCAGAGAGTACAATGCACCGAGAAAACCATCCATATAGAGCAATACAATGAAGTAATGAGCCAATGTTCACGCCCGTAGGCCACACCAACACAGTATCCAAAGTCGCTCTACTCTGTCTGGCGCTCAACGCCCAGCCTACTCTACCAGACTATCCTACCTACAGCTGGTTCACGCAACAGGATCACTTCGACTCACGAAGACCAATGTACATAACTGCGAACACCATCGCCGACCTCTCTTCATGTACCAGGTACGTATCTCGCCACCCTCAATCAGACCTTGATTACCCCACACAGCGCCTCCTTCCCTGAAGACCACCTGATCATCCGCTGTACCCCCTTGGTGCCCAGCAGCCCGGCTATGGCTGCCTGCGCCCCGCTGCCCTGCAGCGCCCCACTACACCTCTCGCGCCCCGTTAGCGCCCTTGGCAGCAGCACAGCATCAAGCTAGAGCGCAACAACACTTTCGCATTGCCAGCGCTGGCCAGAATGCCTGGTCAGGGCTGCCTCCTTCCTTTTGTGGAAGTGGCAGCCTCCTGGATGCTCCGTGTGGCCTGGCTGGAAGCTTCCAGTAGCTTCCGGTTGGGTCCCAGACCCTGCGCCCAGGCCCGAGACTACAGTTGAGGGCCTGGGCCCTTTGCAGTTAGGCATGGCCTGAGTCTCCGGACTTCGGCTGTTTGCTGCATCTATGCAGGGCTCCCAGGCAGGTGCGTTGGCACTATTGCCTTTGCAAAGGCCGAAGGCCTGTTTCCCAATGTATCATCCCTGCTTCGTGTATGTGTGCCCAGGCGCAACTGTCAAGGCCTGGGCCAACTGTATGACGCAGCAATGTGAGGCTCACGCGTCTTCCCAACCAATTGGCGTGCTGCAAGAACCTGAATACCCACATATGGAAATGTCGAATTTTGCCTTTGACGAATATTCAGGCCCACCTTCACTTAGGGCCGGCACTTGGCTTGCTGGGGGCCTAAGCCCAGAACAAAGTGATGTATGTGATAGGGCCCCTTGAGGGCTTGTTCCTCACATTCCATCCCCCTTAGCTTCGAAAGTCCGCTGAGATGCTTCATGCTGGTGCCTTCCCCTTCAGTTTCTTCTCATAATCTGCCACGATCTGAGGAGCTGTCTTGACAAGTTCCTCCCTTGAAATCCATTGATCTTCCTTCAGATCTGTATGATGCCTGAAATGTACTCTGTATTCCCTCGCAGGTTTGGGAGGTCTTCCCCTGCCAGGTGGCTTGGGAACAGGCGTGTCTCTATGATCCAGGATGTCGTCGACGTCCACGTGGCCATCCATGGTTGGGGGCAGCATAGATCTCCATGATGGGAACTGTGATGTCTCAGCGAAAGGTGCAAGCTTGGAGGCGTTAAAAACAGGGTAAGTATGTAAGTGACCAGTGATACGAATGACGTACGAGGGACCATCCAAATCATTCCCCACAATGTCTAGGACTTCCAAGGGACCAAAGTACAGAGGCATTAGTTTCCTAGAGATGCCAAACTCCTGTCCCAACTCACTAGCCTTGACCCAGACACGTTCCCTACCTGAAATGTGGACTGTCTGCGACGCTTGTTCTCAGAAGCAATCATGGCTTCCTGAGATTTCTTGATGTGTTCGACAGTCTGCTGCAACAGTTTCTCATACTGGACACCAATTTCAATGGTTCCAGGAGTTGCAGCAGTTCGGTTTTCAGGCAAGAGGAAGTCTAGAGCAAGGCTTCCACCGCAGATGCAGTTGATTAGGACTGATGCCGGTGGTGCTGTGTACAACGTTGTTGTACAGGCTAGCGATGAGAGGTAATTTCTCATCCTAGTCATCCTGGCTGGGCTTGATGTAATGCCTCAGCAGATGCTGCACCACTCGGTTCATCTGTTCAGCCTGCCCATTTGCTTCGGGGTGAATCGCAGAAGTCATCTGAAGCTGGCTGCCCATCTGTTCAGCGGCTTTCTTCCGCATCTCGCTTGTGAAACGTGCATCTCTGTCACTAACGATCGTTTTTGGAAATCCAAAGTCACGCACCCAATTGGCCATGAACAACTTGATGACGTGCTCAGTCCTAGCAGTCCCTGGCATGGCGATTAGTCTAGCATACTTATTGAACCTATCCACTATGACGAAGATGTGCCTCTTGCCATTCTTGCTGGTCACGAGAGTATCCATGAAGTCCATGGAGATACTCTGCCCTAGGCCAGCAGGAATGGGTAGAGGCTTGAGTAACCCAAGCGGAGCTCGAGTCCGCGGCTTGTCCCGCTGACAGACCTGACAGGTCTCTACGTACTTCTTTGCATCGTCTAGCATGTTAGGCCACCAAAATCGTTGTACTAAGTTAGCACTAGTCTTCTTCTGGCCGAAATGTCCCGTTGCGTCATGGCATTCTCCTAAGAACAAACTACGCAAATCTTCCCTAGATGGAACAACTTAGCTTGCAGATTTTGTTTAGTACCAGAAGGACCTTCATCATCATACAACTTGATGCACTTCAGCTTGGTCTTTAAGCTGCCCTTGGACCTCGGCCTGGCGCATGCAGTGGATGGAGAATTTTCCACTGGAGTGCAGACGACGCTTCTTTTCCGCTTCTCATTACTTGAGAGTTCCTTGTTGTCCTTGCCTCCTTGCGCTTCCCTTCGCAGGCGTTCCAACTCATCCCGCTCCGCCACGTCCAATTTCGACTTCTTGTCGACTGCCTCCAATTTTGAATTGATGAGCTTCAGCGAGTCGCCCAGCGTAGTGGTAACCCAAGCTTTCATATCTTCACTTCTTTCCGATGAGCGTGCATCGTCTCTGCTTCCTTCATCATGAGGTTCGACGATCTGGGTACCGCTCTGCTTTGCAGCACCATTCCTCGCTACTCCGAGCTTCTTTTTTGCTTCGTTTATAGCTTTACTGGACTTGATGCTCTCCAAGATCTCCATGTATTCCTTAGTGAAGTATGCACGATTTCCCGGTCCTGGGAAATTATTAGCGGCAGGGCCTTTGTCTCCTCCACTTGATGCCGAGTTTCCACCATGCCCACCGTGGAAGCCCTGCGGATTCGGTTGTACGGCAGGAGGCTGCGGCGGCAGCGCCATCTGAACAGGCAATTGAACAGGTGCTTGCGCCGCTGCAGAGATCTGGGGGGATGGTACATTCCCCGTCCATGGTGCGCTACCTTGCCATGGCGTGGACTGCCGATGAAGTAGTCCCCATGGTTGTGTGCTCCACTGGTTGAGTACAGGATGATACTGCACTGGCGTAACAACCGGGGCTGGTGGCGCTGGTGGCGCGTCTATCCCAGGCGGTGGATGAACCTGACCTCCGACATAGTACAGAGGAGGAACGCCAAGAGGTGTCGGATTCGCAACCGAGGCCGGAGTGACCGATTACGGTACACTGAGGCCTGGTGTTGCGCGTAGTGGTTACCATTCGCGCCTTCCATCCTGTAACGGCCGCAGTTGGACCACTTGCCACGTCGACTGTCGGCCTTCCCACTTCGGCCTCTCGAGTACATGCGCCCCGCGATGAAGTAGATGGCGCACAAGCTAACGCCGATTCCAACATGCGGATGATCAAGCCAACTACTAGCTTTGATAAAGGCGGTTGCCTTAACCACCATACCCAGTGCTGCGTGCCGTGAGGTCGCAGTCCTCAGCAGTGAAGGTATCGTATACTATCGTACGTACTAGACTAATGATCAAGCCGAGGACCGCAATGATTAGACCGAGAGAAAAGATAAAGAGAAAAATTACCTGTGAAGTTAATTACCAGTGAATATAACTGCACATAAATTCAAAACCCGATACGCCCATTATGTAGACATTGATTATCAGCTCAAGAGTTCCATAACGCATTATGGAAGAGAATAAAATAACAAAGGATGAAAAACTTGAAAGGAGAATTAAAACAATCGAAGATAACAACCAATCATAACGAGTCGATCCTAACAGATCGACGAATCCGAAAGTCGAACAATGATCGACGAACAACAAGTAATCAAACGCGACTCCATAGAGTAAACTCGGATGAAGCCGGCACCTCAACCTCGTTCCCAAGCCACAACAATGTCGACTTTGAGGCTCAAGTCCATGAGAAAGATTACACACAATCGAACCAAAAAGTAGAAGAAGATGCCTTGAGCATTAATATCGTGGCGTACAACATCTTCCCCTCCGCCATTCCATAACACAGAGTTACGGAAACTCAACCCTTCCACTCAATACACCACTCAGATTGAGGATTCCTACTGTACTATCCTAGCTTAAATATCTGTAATATCCTACTTCCTAAGAACTCGATTCATCACCGAGCATGTAGCTTCGGTAATCAAAAAATGTACGAGGTCGATAAACTCGACCAAATGCTTGCAAAAATATATCCACAGTGAAGAGCCCGCCTAAAAAAAGGCCAGGCATCCCTACCACAGGGAACTTGCTTACTCTGCTGAATGAAAACCTTATTTCAAGGTAGGTACCTTCAGAGAACCCATCGCAAAACACCAGTGAGTTACGAAAAAACTCAAAACTTATACGTGGGTCCGTTCCCTTCGGAGAGGTTAAAACACAATCTGCAGAACTGTGGTGGATCCAAGATCGTACAATCATAGCAGCGTTTTTATTGGTTTTCCTGAATCGGTCCCAGATACTAGGTCATGTACGTCCTTGCGGATTCATGATCCGGACATGTAGCTAAAATGTACGAGACCGATAAACTCAGTCATATGGTAAAAAATATATATATCCACAATCAGAGCCTGCCTAAAAAGGCTAGGCATCCTTGCCTCCGGGCACATAAATGCATGAAACCTTATTACTGGGTGGGTACCTTCAAAAAACCCGTCGCACTTCATGAGGCCTGAAACCAGTGTGTTGCGAAAACACGAGTTTGCTGAGTCCCAAAACCTTACATCGTGGATCCGACACGATCTGCAGACGGAGTCGTCCGAAGATATCTTCGGGATCTGAACTTCAGGTTCACTGGCTGTTCCGGACTGATCTGCCAGCCGCGTGTACAACTCGATTACGTGGGACGTGCCACAAGAGGAGCATCGTTAACCACACTTTTTACAATCTCCTGATCTGCCAGCCGCTTTTTACGTCGATATCGTGCACTGCTGTTGTCTTCATTGTCTCCACGAGATGACAGTGCCACGTGGCACTTCTATGTGACCAGGACTTTTCAGACTTGTTACTGTATATTGATTGATGACGTGGAGGTGAGGGGAAGCCCGGAGAAGGAGTGGGTAATGTTTGGGCTACTCTTGTGTGGCCACTGATTATCTCTTCCACCCTCTCATCTGTCTATTCCCCCTCCACTCTCTTCGTCTACTGTTAACGAGATATTGTATAAGATATCACTTTCACGATTATTGGAAATATTGTGCACATCTGAGTCTACTTGTACTTCGACGTCTGACGAGTATCTTCCGGTCTGGGTTCATTACAACGCCCTTGTGCTATAAGCTAATAAATGTTTTGTAGTTCTGGTGTCCGTTGGACCAGGTTTCCAGCAGGTGATGCTCCCCACCAGTAGATGGAGCAGTTAAAAAAAAAAAAAAAAGAAGTTCTGGTGTCCATTGTGAAAAATGAGCAGCAAGCAGTCTTGTCGAGAGCCTGAGCAGTAAGCGGTTTGCTGAGAACTTAAACAACTAGTAGTCTGATAGGAGCTTAAACAACAGCAAGCAAATTGTAATGGACCTAGTCTGGCAGATACTCATAAGTCGTCAAATACCTGTAGAGTCAGTATCTGCAGCAAAGTCCCCAATTCGTAAAGTAATATAGCAAACAGTATCTCATTATCATCAATAGAATAGAGTGGAGCGGGAACCGACAAAGAAGAGGATGAAGAATCACACAATAATCCCTGCTGACCCTCTCCTTCTCCGGGCTTCTCCCCTCTTCACATCAACAATGATAATAAGTATATTCCTTATCACACACGGAAGTGCCACGTGGCACTCAATCTCATGAAGACCATGAAGACATTGCAGATTCCAGTATCGACTTCAAACCCAGGTGAGTACCCGTTCTCCCTCAACCACAAATCCCGATCTTCCTCCTTCCTTGCAACCAGTCACCTCATGTAGACAGCGTGGACAATGCCACGTCAACTATCGAAACAGTTGGCAATAGCCACATCATCAATGTAGACCAGTAGCAGCGCCACATCAGTACGCCACGTAGACCAGAGGCAGCGCCACGTAGACCATGGGCATCGCCACGTCAGCATGCCACGTAGACCATAGGTAGCGCCAAGTATATCAGAGGCAGCGCCACATCAGCATGCCGCGTAGACCATAGGCAGCGCCACGTATACCAAAGGCAACGCCACATCAGCATGCCACGCAGACCATAGGCAGCGCCACGTATACCAGAGGCAGCGCCACATCAGCATGGCATGGCGCACTGAAGAAGCACCAACATGCTGCCTCCACCTTGTGCCGTCGTCCGCAACGCTTGTGCATAGCCAGCATGAAGCCAACGTCGTGTCAAAGTCGAGCCAGCGTCAAAGCAGCCTAGCAAGACTGAATGCTTGACTTACTCGAGGTCAGCCTAAAGTAACAGATGTCGAGGCTGTCTGGCCTCAAGTAATTTTCCCACAGTCGTCCAGATTGAATCACAACTGAGGGCCCGCATTGTACAGTTGCAGACTTCTCCCTTGGACCTGATGTTGTCTGGGTACCTGCATACAAACAAGTGTGTGTGCTTGACCTGCGGCGTGGGCTAGGTACCTTTGGACTTTGACTGTTGGAATTTCCGAAAGTTGACTTTGTCAACTGTGCCTCGTCCAAGCCCTCAGTCTTGACTCGGGTCTTTTCCCCCCTTTTCGGCTTGGGTCTCGGTTTCAACGAGGCTTACTACATGGGTTATTACATTCCTGCCGGCCCAATTTTCGAGTTCCATCGCAGAAATACATTAATCTTCACTTAACCCACATTCATAAGCAGCAACAATGTCAGGAGCAGAAGGTAGGAGTTCTTTCCTACTAAACCATCTAGCTTCAGATGGAGGTTGAGACTTGAACATTACCTTGTACTGCTTCTGAGGTCGTCCTCTGCTACCTGTAGAGAAATAACCATGTTCCAAATACCCTTTCAACTGGAGATGGTCTATTCGGAAAGTCATCACTTTCTACGTAGGGTAGCAGTTTAGACGCATGAAAGACAGGGTATGTCCTTAGATGTGGAGGTACATCTATACGATAGGAAGGTCCATCTTCTCCTCCAATCACTTTGAGAACTTCCCAGGGTCTGTAGTAGACAGGTTGCAGTTTCTGAGACACATTTTCTTCTAAGGAAAACTCTTTAGACTTGACCCTGACAAAGTCCCCTTCTTGAAATTGTGAAGGACAACGATGTTTATTAGCTTGTTCAATCATTTGCAACTGGGTTTTTTGTATATTTCCCTTCACCTTCTTAATGTCCTCTTCATATAGCACTGTGAATTCACGCGTACATGTGGGTAACCTTTGAATCTGGTCCCTTGTTAATGCATCAATGGGACACCTAGGCTTCCATCCTTTGTGTAGTGCGTTAGGCGTTCTACCTGTAACAATATGGATACTGTTATTATAAGCACTAGCAATTTTAGGTAAGTTCTCATCCCAATCGATCTGATAAGGTCACACATACATTCGCAAAAGTTGTTGGCAAAGACGATTCATTTGTTCAGTCTGGCCATTTGTTTCAGGATGTCTTCCTGACGACATGGTCAACCTGGTTCCATAGACTTCCATAAACTTTTGCCATTGTAGACTGGTGAACCGAACATCTCTATTTGATACGATGTTTTGGAAAATCCATACTCAAAGACCCATCGCATTTGAAACTTTTGAATGACGAGTTTGGTTCTAGCTTCAGCAGGCAAAGGAATGAACATAGCATACTTAGAGAATCTATCAACAATGACCATTACCTGACTGTTGCCATTTCAACTTTTAGTGAGACTCCTAAAGTCAATGGAAATGGACTCACCTGGCTTACTTGGAATTGGCAGCGGTCTCAATAATCCCATCGGATTCTCATGTGAGGGCTTGTTCCTCTGACAGACAAGACAAGTCCGCACATACGTTAGTACATCTTCGTTCATTCCTTTCCATTCAAAGCGTTCACGTACATCGACATACGTCTTCTTAAAACCAAAGTGACCTTCCACATCATGACATTCCCCGATGATTAAACTCTTCATTGATTCCAAGTGAGGAACACACAATCGTTTTTTGGTTTTATCTAGCAAGAAGAGTAGGTCATGAGTCATTCGATATTCCAGAAATAACTCAGGGTTCTTTCGTAGAGTCTCAATGATAGGACCCCAAATAGGATCATTCCCATAACCCTGGCGGATCTGTTCTTTCAGTTCATTTCCAATATCGAGATAGGAGACAATAGTTCCAAAGAAATTTGCACGCCTGGACAAAGCATCTGCGACCACGTTGGACTCACCTTTGATGGTTTTCACCTCAAAGTCAAAGGTGTCATAGAATGCAGACCACCTTACCAACTTGTCGGAGAGCTTAGGCTGAGTCTTGATCCACTTCAACGTAGAGTGGTCAGAATGGACAGTGAAATGCCTCCCCAACAGGTAGTGCTTGTAGGTATCTATTGCAAATAATAAGGCATACAGTTCCCTTTCATATGTGGAATTGGCCACTTTTTCTGACGGAAGTCTTCTAAACATAAACTCAATAGGTCTATAGCTTTTACCGTCATCTTGCAGTAACACAGCCCCAATCCCATACTGACTTGCGTCAGTTATGAATATGAAAGGAAGAGAAGGGTCAGCAATCTTTAGGACAGGGTAGTGAGTCAAAGTATGTTTTAACTTTATGAATGACGACTCACAATCTTTGTCCCACAACCAAGGCTTTTCTTTTTTCAGTAATCTTCTCATAGGAGCAGCTATCAAGGAAAAGTTTCTAACGAACTTCCTATAGTAGTTAGCAAGTCTTAGGAAAGATCTTAGTTCAGTTATAGTCTGGGGTTGTGGCCAACCTCTGATTGTTGTAATCTTCTACTGCAAGTCCTTGTACTCATCAATAAGTTTTTCAATAGAAGGTGGATAAGACGAGGAACACTCACCTATTCGTTTGACAAGTACCATCATCACCTCCTGATCCAACTTCTTCTTTACTACCATTGATCGGCAAGCTAGGTAACTCATACAACAGAAAGATAGAGAGTCAGAGCCAGACATATGATACAACTTTATCGCACGCAGTTCGGACTTCTCGTCCTTGAGTTTGACAATTTTATCTTTGAACTTAACTTCTGGGTTAGCTTCCTTATGCCAATCCATACCCAAAATTATGTCAAAGGGTAAACTCTTCTCAATTAGGAAGGATATCTCGTGTAGAATCTTCTTACCTTCCTTTGTCCTAAAATAGCACTTAACACGATCGACGTATTGAGAGACAGTGATTGTGCTCTTGTCAGCCAGTAAGACGTGATAGGTCTAGGTAAATCCTTTACCTTCATTCCCAGATGCAACTTACGAATTGCCTTCTCTGAGATATAAGACCGCGTCGATCCCGGATCTAACAGGGCATCTACTCGCGTGTGTGCAATCTCAAAATCCGCGATCATCAACTCACCCTTAGACTTTGCTTTCTTCGCCCACGAACTCTGAAGTGCCATCAGTTCATTGTCGAGCTCGTCAAAGGAATCGTCCAGTGAGACAGAACAAAGTACTCTGTCAAGGTGGTCTGGACGATGGGTGGAAGAAGAGCCATCCTCTGCCTTGAGAGTCGAAGGGGTCTTTATCTTAGCCTAAACCCTTCGACTCAGTAGGAGCAGATGCTACTCCTACTTACTGCTTGCTTTTGGGTTTCGAATAAGTGGGCATCAGGCTATCACGTGCCCCACGGTGCCACACTTGAGGCACTGGCGATTGTCCATTTTGGACTGCCACTCCTCCCGAGTCATGTTCATCTTTTCCCAAGGTATCCCAAACACGATGCCGGGATGCTCGGGAATCGAGCGTGGCCTCTTCTTCTTCTTCCACTGACTTTGGCCTCCCTTGTTGGCCATTACGGCAGCGACGTCACTCTTCCCGGACTTGCTGCCGCCATTACCTCTTCCTCCCTCAGACTCGTCGAGGGGTAACTTCTCTACTGTCTCATCATCAAATAGTACAAGCATATGGTCCTGACGCTTTTGCCGCCAAAGGAGCCGCTTGCCGTACCCACCAACCGGTCCTGATTTGACTAACGAAGCGTACGTACCTTTGACTTGCGTGGTCATCTGCTCTCTTTGCAGAGCGAGATCGCGGAATCGCCGGTAATTGTACTTACCAGACTTTGACTCTCCGAGCTGTCCACGAATGGGCTCAGGCAATGCTCGAGAGTAAATGTACAGGACCTGGTTATCCTGCAAATTCAACCCAAGTACCTGCAAAAGACGGTCAACTTCACGAGACAACACATCCACTGAGGTCCAACGTTTTTGGCCGATAGTGGTGAGTTCGTCGAAGGCCTTATCAGTCGTCGTTTTGTCGAGAAATCTCTCCTTCATCTTTTGGAGAAACTGTCTCAACGTCAGGGTCTTTGCCCACTCACCGATATCCTCAAAGCCAGCGACGTTGGCTTCGGCCAGCACCCATTCCTTGGTCACTCCTCGCACACAAGACGTGGAGAAAGCGACCTAACTTTCAGGCTCCACGGGTGTTGTCCCTACGTAAGTCGGTATCTCTGCAATCCATAACAAGTTCTCTTCCTTCTTGTTGTTGTACGTAAATCGCAGTTTCATTTTGACTTTTTCTTTCTTCTTCGTTTTTTTCTGCTTCCTTCACCGGTTCTTCTTTCTTTTCGGTGGGTGATTCCTTCTTCTCAACTTGTCTCTCGAGTTCTTTCTTAGAACCTTCGGGTTTCTCGGGTGTGACTCGTTTCATCGCATCCTTCATTAATTTATCTTGGGGTTCCTTCTTGTCTTCTCCCCCCTTGGCCACCTCCTCATACACCACCTTTTCTTTTCCTTTCGTCATTCTGATCATTGTCTCCATAGCGGCGGTGTTACGGTCAATCTTCTTCTCGAGGTGAACGAGGTAGACCATAATAGACTGAAGGATAGATGCAACCTCACTACCTGCTTCTTCGTAATGAAACTTTTGCCTCAATTCATTCATCACTCTTTCTTCTTCTTGTTGTTTTTTCAATCTTCGGTATTCTTCAATCTTCCTTCTCTATTATCTTAATGTATTCTCTAGTTGTCTGACGTTTTCCTCCATTATTTCCACAGACAATTGTGGTTCCTTTCTTTCTTCCCTTTCTTCCTTTTTTTCTTCTTTTCCTTTCTGGTCCATCTTTTCAAAGCTCCCGGCGACATATTGATCAAGGATCAATCGTCCTTGTCTTATGAGGTCTTCGACCCGCGTGCCTGTTTCCATCATATGAGCGGCAGTCTCAGCGGTCTACAGATCTCTTTCTGCATCACGCAGATTGATATGTCCGTGAACGTGTCGTTCAGCATCTGGACCGGCACCGTGTATCTCACCAAGAAGCCGGCGAAGGAGGCCGACCAAAGTCCGCCTCCTGGCATCAATCTGACCACGGGTTTTCAATTTCACTCCCTCTTCATCGGCAAAGACGGTAAGAGGAATGCGGAAGAAAAGAAGCGGTATGAACCGAGTCAAAATAGAGGCATGCAGACATTTACAGAGAGAACCCATTTTGTCAAACGTGCAGATGCCGCACAATAAATAAAACTAAAAGACGAAAATAAATTCCACGACACACGCAACTTTTACAGCAAGAATTATTCAAAGCAAATACAAAGAAACAAATGTTTTACTAAGTCTAACTTCGTTGTTTGTTCTTTCTATGTGATGACGTCCTACAACATGTGTACAGGTACCACAACCACGACCAACAGGTGAGTATGCAAGGACACCACAGAACAACCAACAGGTGAGTAAAACCAACACTCCAACACAATCAATTGTTAGCTTCCTCTCTTATGGCTGTACTATCTGCAGCAACCAAACACATTACACACTCAACACCTCACTCAGCCACGCAGGCCATGTGTCACCTCTGGAATGCCAACACAGTAGCTCAATGGAGTCTGCCACGTTAGCACATCAAGAACCCGGAGGGTGTACAAGGGGGATGCCACGTCAACAGGTACTCACGACACAGGTACGTGCCACGTCAGACCATGCCCTGCCAAAATACCATGTCAGCATTCCATATTATGCCACATCAGCAGTCCAATTCACACACTTTATCTATCTGGACCGGCGCCACGTCAGCCTGTTGCCATCGAACCTCTCGACGGTGTCTTCAATGCAGCTACGTCATCATCTTCAAGGGACGATTGCTCACAAGTGCATTACTACAATGTCTAGACTTGCGGTATGATCGCGCGCGTTAATAAACGCGTTTCGTTTTGCACATGTGGCACCTCCCACTTACCTGGGTGCCACGTCAGCACCTGATAGCAGACAACAGATCACGATGAAGAAGTTTGCTCCGATACCAAATTGTAATGAACCCAGTCTGACAGATACTCAGAAGTCGTCAAATACTTGTAGAGTCAGTATCTGCAGCAAAGTCCCCAATTCGTGAAGAAATATATCAAACAGTATCTCATTAGCATCAATAGAAGAGAGTGGAGGGGAAACAAACAAAGGAGAAGATGAAGAATCATGCAATAATCCCTGCTGACCCTCTCCTGCTCCGGGCTTCTCCCCTCTTCACATCAACAATGATAATAAGTATATTCCTGATCACACACGGAAGTGCCATGTGGCACTCAATCTCATGAAGACCATGAAGACATTGCGGATTCCAGTATTGAGTTCAAACCCAGGTGAGTACCCGTTCTCCCTCAACCACAGATCCCAATCTTCCTCCTTCCTTGCAACCAATCACCTCATGTATATTACATGCCCAGTTGGGCCATGTACATATATAACTGAGGATCCGCAATGTGATAAAAAGGACAAAATGGACAATGCAGTGCAAGCGAAATCTCAACAAGCAGTGTACATCCTGATACATACAAACGTGGTGCTTTATAGCGCAGGGGAAGACTTAGATACAAGTCCTAACCTGACCGGGACTGACCTCTAGCACGTAGTGCAAGACAACGCAGCAGAATGCTAAAATACCAAGGACTAGCCCAATCAATGTTGCAACGCAGACCAAACATACATCATCCTCATCACAAGGTGTCAAGGGGCCTGGCGCTACACACAGGAAAAATGCGCCAGGTCCAGATCATGCACAAACGAAGAGGAGGGGAGCAGACGAAGAAGAGGGGGAGAGATGGGTATGTCGTCAAAACCAAGTCTTTGTTACAGGTCCCAAATAATCCCTCGTCAAATGTCTGAAGCCCAATGTCGAGTCTGGATCCGAATGTCACCAAGCCCGCTCTCTCATAGTCTGCTGATGCAGTGAAGTCAGGTAGCGAGAGGGTGAGAGGGAGATGGTGGACTGAGAAGAGGAAGAAGAAGAACTCTCTCTCTCCCATGTGCCAGGTGCTAACCTGTGAAGTTAGCGCTGTGCTGTAGGTACCTCGAAGATGGAGCTGGAGCTACGGCGCTGCAGGTAAGTCTCCCTGGCCTCCGCCCAATCTCTCTCTCTCCAGTACTACTCTAGCTCCTACTAGCGCCCAACGCTGAAGACTACTGCTAATGCTACTAGCGCCCAGCGCTGAGGACTATTGCTAGCGCTACTAACTTGCAGTCCGTAGATGCAGAATGGCTGCTTCCCTCAAGATCGCCTACTTGAGGGAAGCCCTCAAGTCACCAAGTGTCTTCCTTAGGTCAGATTCCAGGTGCGAGGGCCTCTCACTGTCGCCTTTCTCAACTTGTTGCATGAAGTCCTCTTTATGTGTCTCGCCACCACTTACATGCTCACAATCAACCTTGTCAGGTTCAATGTCGACCCAACATGACCTAACCAAGTGGGGGCAACTTCCCTAAGCCACGCTGCCCCACTTCCCACTTCGGACCAACCCTAACCCTAAGTGGTTAGCCCTTACCACTTAGGTAAGGGTTAGGGTGGATAAGTCAGCTCTCACCAGCAAGTAGAATCCGCTCTGATACCAATGTTATGATCCTGGCCAATTTCGAGATACACATTCATCAGATAATATAATGTCGTCCAATTGCAGAAAGAAATGAATGAACTTGAGAGGAGAGAGAGGGTAAGAAGAAGAAGAATAGGAAAGAAAGAAGAAGAAGATGATGTACACCAGCATAGACAAATGAACAAGCTCTTCTTCTTTGCCTAACACTCTCCTCCTTTACTCGTCCTCTCTTATTCATACAAGAAATAATAGTACAATGTTGAATGGCTGATCCAGAATCATGTCCGAGTTCCTCTTCTACTGCATGTATCACTTGAGGTCCACCATAGCCATGGCCGCCTCCCTCACTCTTCACTCTCATAGGCCTGGGCTATGGCGGACTATTGGGCCTTGCCCTGATGTCCAAAGGACAACCCAAAACAGCTATGGTTGTTCTAGATCAGGCCGCCATGCCTGACTCTGCCTCGAAGCTTCTTGGTGTGGCTCTACCCCCGCTGGGGTCAAACTGTTGCAGCGCCCACCAAGGTGATGAAGATGGTCGCCACCATAGCCGGGTAAGGACCTCTGGCGCTCCCCCTTCCTCCTGCTCTTCTTCCTCCTCTGCGTCCTTGCTCCTTCCCCAACAGAGCTGCTCTCAGCTAGCGCTGCTCCAGCCAGCGCTCCAACCAGTGTGTCGCCATACTTGCACACCGACAATGAGGATGGGCTCTTCGCCCGACCTGGAGATATAGCGGCCTGCTTGCCTCTTGGGCGGTGACTTCCAGGCCGCTCGGCCTTCCCAGCAACTGATACCTCCTCCCTTTCGGAGGGAACCATCATTGCAGACTCTTATATTGCCTGTACAAGCCCTAGACTCAGACTGGTTGGACTATTACCCGCCTAGACCTAGCCTACCACTACTGGGCCTCTAAAAATGCCACTTTTGTCTTCTTCTGCTCGGCCTCTAGTACCCGCACCTCTTACCTCTTCAAGGTGCGGTACCGGCCTACCTACTACTTGAGTGTTTTCCCCCGCTGCAATCCCTCAATGTCATGGCCCTGAGGGCCAATGAACGGACAAGTACCCTTGCGGGTCACACACACACTCAAGCCAACCAGCACTCAGACAGACATGCAGACCAGCAAGCATGCACACACACACAGACATGCAGAACTTAGTGGCAAGCAGGAAACTCAACAAGGCATTCAGTCCGTGAACAAAACTCAGAAATCAGTTGTGTCTCAGTCCGTGTTTGGTTGGGTCATCACATCATCATTATTTTTATTACTATCATCATATGGGAGGGCTAAATATTTAAGCCAAGTATCCGGTCACTCCAAAGAATCTAACTAGGACGACGGCTAGGGGATACTTAGGTC